CCAGAGGTTGACTAAGGTTAGCAGACACCCATCAACAAGAAGGGCTGGATGGAGGATCTGGGGATCTGTAGGTCTGTCAGTCTGACCTCAGTGCCAGAGAGGGTTATGGAGCAGATGATCTTGAGTGCCATCAAGTGGCATGTACAGGACAACCAGGTGATCAGGCCCACTCAGCATGGGTTTATGAAAGGCAGGTCCTTCTTGGCTAACCTGATCTCCATTTATGACAAGGACCTGCTTAGTGGATGAGGGAAAGGCTGTGGATATTGTCTATCTAGATTTTAGTAAAGCTTTTGACACCGTTTCCCACAGCATTCTCCTGGAGAAACTGGCTGCTCATGGCCTGGATGGGTGTACTCTTTGCTGGGTTAAAAACTGACTGGATGGCCGGGTCCAGAGGGTTGTGGTAAATGGAGTTAAATCCATTTGGTGGCCAGCCACAAGCAGTGTTCCCCAGGGCTCAGTACTAGGTTCAATTTGGTTTAATATTTTAATCAGCGTTCTGGATGAGGGGATTGAATGCACCCTCAGTAAGTTTGTGGATAACACCAAGCTGGGTGGGAATGTTGATCTGCTTGAGGGTAGGAAGGCTCTACAGAGGGATCTGGACAGGCTGGAGCCATGGGCAAAGGCTAACTGTACGAGGTTTAAGGTTCAGTACCAGGTCCTGCAAATGAGTCACAACAACCCCATGTAACACTACAAGCTTAGGGAAGAGTGGCTGGAAAGCTGCCTGGTGGAAAAGGCCCTGGGGGTGCTGATTGACAGCCAGATGAACATGAGCCAGCAGTGTGCCCAGGTGGCCAAAAATGCCAGTAGCATCCTGGCTTGTGTCAGACAGAAATGGTGTGGCCAGCAGGGACAGGGAAGGGATCTTACCCCTGTACTGGGCACTGGTGAGGCCGCCCCTCAATTCCTGTGTTCAGTTTTGGGCACCTCACTGCAAAAAGGACATTGAATGACTCAAGCGTGTCCAGAGAAGGGCAACGGAGCTGGTGCAGGGTCTGGAGCACAGGTCCTACGAGGAGCGGCTGAGGGAATTGGGGGTGTTTAGTCTGGAGAAAAGGAGGCTGAGGGGAGACCTTAGCACTCTCTACAGCTACCTGAAAGGAGGTAATATAAGTGATAGGATGAGAGGAAACAGCTTCAAGTTGTGCCAGGGGAGATTTAGATTGGATATTAGTGAAAACATATTCACTGAAAGGGTTGTCAAGCATTAGAACAGGCTGCCTGGGGAAGTGGTTGAATAACCATTCCTTGAAGTATTTAAAAAGACATGATGTGTTCTGTAGGGACATGGTTTAGTGGTGGATTTGGCAGTGTTAGGTTTACAGTTTGAACTCAATGATCTTAAAGGACTTTTCCAACCTAAATGATTCTGTGATTCTAAATTATGTGATTGTTCATGTAGCAAGCCAAAAATCATTATTATTTGTGTTTATCACAGCATCTTAGCACATGCCTAGGCATACATCCTATAAAATACTGCTGTGTTAAACTTTTCCATGTTGGAAAGGTTATTCAATAGGAAGCATTAGGGATTAGGAGCCAAACTACTTTCTGGAACAATAGCTTTGAGGGACTAGAGAAACATATCTTTCCATCTTGATGTCCCGGAGAGTATAATATGGAGGAGTGCTATATTTCAAAAATAGAGCAAACAGGATCATCACAAGTATGTCAGTGCTGAGGGCAGCCTGGAGAGCAAATAACTTAGAATGCAAATTGCTACTGCTAGTGATTTGCAGCTACAGTGAATTTGCTTTGAAACTGGAACAAATTTCGTTAGACATCGTCAGCTTGCCGGTTGATTTCATGCTGTTTGTTGCATTCTGTGATTAAGAGGTAGTGAATAACTGAGACTGGACATATAAATCAAGATTTTTATTCTGTGACAGTATAGCTGTGCAAATGTATATAAAGTAAGCTTGTAAAAATACTTTTTAATGAGATATTAGTGTGATCATTCACAAAAAGAATTTAATGGGTATTTACATCAGAGCAAACTTGGCCAAAAGAAATGAATCTGGATTAAAATGCTATTATTGTAAACAAGTTGTCCCCATCCAGCAATAATTTCATTAAACATCTGTTGGAATTACACAGTTCTGTGCACTGAAAATATTTGACATCCTTCAAGAAGGCAGCTTACATGGAATAAATAAGCACTTTTAAATGAAATTTATTCTGTTGAACTGAATTTGAAGGTTAGAGGTGGCTTATTTACCCAAGTTTTTTGGTAAAGTTAGTGGCTGAAGTCAACTAGAGCTGCATTTTTTCCCTCAGGTATTTACACAGCTGTGCATGGGTAGATGACTGAAACAGAATAGATTCTAGCTCTAGTTACTGTAAGAGAGATTGTAGCTTCTGAGGGGAGGCCTAATGTATTCCTCCCACACAAGAGCAGTCTTGGCAGTATAATGCACTGAGGAGTTTCCTTTCTCTAATTAGTTCTGTGTCATTAGCCTTCCTTCTACTCCTAGGATAGATGGGGTGCACAAAATAGCATAAGGTGATTTAGTTTCTTTTTATGTCTATCTAAGGAGTCACACTCTCACGTATCTAAAAGACTGCTTTTAAAATTTAAAAATGCATTGGCACAGAAAATGAGTAAGAATGTGACCTGAGGAAGAATTAAAACATCTATTATGCTTTTGTGGTTATACCTGTGCTATATGACACCTCAGCTCACAACATAATTCCTTTGTTTTGCTGGTGGCAACTTCTCTCCTGCCCCTAGTTTAACTCATATGCTTTTTAAAATATGCAAAACATTAGAAAGTACCTCGGTTGAAATTGTTACTTTAGCTTGCTTTTTGGACTAGGATTCCCATGTTTTAAAGTCTTGGAGGGAGGACTACTAGATAGTATTTTCTGACTCTGTGCTCTGGAGGCCTTGTACATTCTATGTGGAGCAGACTGAACACTTACTTTAAATATACTTTAAGATCATGGAGGTTTTTTCTATTTTTGGGGGGTGACGCTGTTGCTGTTGGCCTCATTGTGCAGTGGCTTCCCTTAGGCTGTGGCTGACAGCTGCCCTGGTTGTGGCTGAGGTGGGCAGTAGTTCCCTAAGGTTTTAGCTCTCCCTGTTCAGCTAAAACCACTTTGCATCTGTTGGAGTTTCTTGGGGCAAAGCCTTGGCTCAGCTCTCTTCCACAGGCATGTAAAGGGCAGAGGATTGGAAGAGCATATGAACTGGTCTGTGTGCTTTGAACAGAAGCTATACTGTACATGGCCTACAACAAAAAGTGATCTTTAGAGGATTTTAAAGCTATCTGCTAGAACTATTTACATTTATTTTGGAAATAAGAAAATTACTTGTATTAAGAGTAACCTAGAGAAGGAAAAACAGTAATGTGGGAAAACCAGAGAGCTAAGGTAAGTGATGGGAGGAAAGCCTGTTTGTGGGCAGTTTGGGGAGCTGGAAGAGGAGGCTGGGCTCGGTATTGTTGCTGACATGCAGTAGGGACTAATGTCCAACATGGCTTGAAACTAAAAAGGCAAAAAGTGTGCCGAATCCTACGGCTGCCCCTTGTGGGAGAGATGGATTTGGAGTACTGATGTGGGTTTGGAGTCCTGATCGAGTAATCAACAGGGAGCACTTTATTACAAACTGTTAGATCATTTGACAGGTGGTTCCTGCATTCATAGAAATGGCATTGTCTCATGTCATCTTATGGTCTGCTTCAGTGTAACAGTTGCTAGTGAAACTATGTGATGTGCACTTGCCTTCCAGTCTTATGAACATTTAGATAGCATAATTATTTAAGGTATTTTCCTTCTCAAGGAAGGAGAGCTGATAAGAGAAATGAACTGAGATAAAGAATTAGACCAAGTCTCTTCCCCTAGTAACCAAATGAACGTGACCAAAAAAATAAAAGCAGGTAATTTCTGTTGATGGTAATTTCTACCAGTAAATTCCTATTAGTCAAATACAATGTTCTGGAACCCATCTGCAGAGCACTTTGATGGGGTAGCTTATAATGGTATCATGGATAGAAACTGGACTGTAATCACCCCATCTATCCTCTAAGAAAATGTCAGTGTTTTTCAGGAAATACTGAAGTAACAATTGCTACACACACGCATGCACGCCATTTTACTTAATAACAGAGTGAAAGATAAGAGAACCTAACAAGACAGGCTGGCTTGGAAGACAGGAAAGGAACAAGTGTAATCAGTTCTCCTGCCCAAAGGGATGTCAGTCTGAAATGATCAGTTTTAAGTTCTGGAGTAGGATTTGAGATTTGAAACTAGTTGAATGCTTGATGAACCACAGACTTGTGGAGGATCTGGACAAATTACTTCAATGACTGTCACATATGTGAGACAGGAACAGTACTTTTTTGGTTTTCCCACTCCAGAAGCCTGCTTTGTGAAAGTATTTCTTCCCTTCCATAAACTGAAACACAGATGAAATGTTCTTATTGGTGGTGTTTCCAGTGCTCTTTAAGGTTTCTTCCACTGATAAACCATGTGTATGCATCAATATATTGTTGTGCAGCAGTGACTCTCTGATGGCTCCTCATTCAGAATAGGGGTTTTTTTGTCATGGTGAGATGTCCCAGCTTCAGGGAGAAGAATACTTGCAAGATATCTTAAAGGGACTTGAGTTGCTACTGCCCAGGGTCTGCTTGAATTAAGAATTTTATTTTATATGGTTTGGGTATTTTGCATGGATTCCTCAGTGTTTGAAGGAATTTGGTTTGCTTTTCAGGCTTTGGGTAGGATAGACAAGCACACATACACACACACACACACAGATAGATAAATATATTTAAATCTGGAATTCTTTCATGGAGGTATCTGAGATTAGATTTGACTATTCTGCCATATGAGAAAAACTTCTTTTTGTTGTTTTGCTTTTGCACTGGTGTTAAAACAGGGACTGTTGAATATGAACCTATAGGTTAGTGTTGAACTGTGCATGTGTCGTACCCACAGAGAATATTTAAGTGTTGTAACTCTATCTTACTTGCTTTGACTTTGCTTTGCAGAGTTCCAAAGTGCTTGCAAAGAAGGAGCTCTCCTATATGCCTATTATTGGCTGGATGTGGTATTTCTTAGAGATAGTCTTCTGCAAGCGTAAGTGGGAGGAAGATCGGAAAACAGTCATGCAGAAGCTGCTGAATCTCCGGGACTACCCTGAAAACTTTTGGGTGAGTGACAACTAACAAGTGGAGTGCAAGGTACTGTAGTGCTTGGGAGGGATGAAGGGCATAGACAATATGGGATAGTCACTAGGTTGCTCCTGAGAACTTTGATTTGTGAGCTTCCTGGCAGTATCAGGAGCGTATTCTCTAAGAATTGATTCAGTCTTGAATGTCTCATGTAATGGTCTGTCTTGCCAGTTTTCTTCCACTGTATGGAGCAGCTGGTGATGGTGAGAGAGGATTCAGTTCAGGAAATGGGACCTTATGCAGCTTCACAAGGGCCTACAGAAACTATTGTTTAAGAAGCAGTTTCCTAGTGAAGATGTATATGCTGTATCTCTCATTCTCTGAAACAAAACTTTTTTTAAATTGTCATTGATTTAAGTGAGTGCTAAGCAATCGAAACTAAGCTCTGTGCATGGATGATGATTAAATGACTTCCGGGCAGGAGGCTGACTAGCAAAGCAACAAATCTTGGTTTCAGTTCCAGCCTCTCTCACAGGGATTTACCTACGCTCTGTGACTCTTAAAAGGTGTGGCATGCCTTTCTTGTACACCTAGGCAGTCCAGCTCTAATTGGTGAGCACAGACTGCCACCATCCTTTATAGACTGCTGCAAAGGTATTACTAGGGAGCTATACCTGTAGTAAGAGATACAGTTGTTGATGTAGACCTGGGATTGTTGCAGTGTGGAGTTTCAATTTGTGTTTGTATGGTGACACAATGTCCAAAGGCACAGCAATAGCACCTTGGACAGGTAAGAAGAGAGCATGCCAAGTGGGCTGGAAGGATTTTCTCTTCAGTTTCTGTATGTTTCATCTAGATGTTTAACATTATGCATGTGTTACATGAGTAAAAGTGTTCTTAGATGAGCTGGAACTGAAGCTGGCTGCTTGGCTAGTTTTCTTCAGTCTCTGTCTTTGTTGGCTAAATCTTTGCTGTGGGTTATGAGGACTTCACTTGTGCTATTTGGCAATGCTCTTTGATGTGTTAGTTTGCATTCAGGCTTAGCAGAAAGCAGATGGGCAAGTGGTAAATCTCCAAAGATCTGCCCGCTCTCCCCTGCATGCCAGTGGCAAAATTGTAATCATTCATGTCTGAGCACTTCCACTGTACAGTTTATAAGGGGATGAGCTTTCAGTTGCCCTGCATCTACTGCCTTACATCTGTTACCAGCTCAGTCACTGGCATCAAAATTACTGTAGTTGTCAGTGGTCCTCATGCCATAGTGAAAGCAAGTGGGTTGGGAGTGAGGGGAAGCACGCTGTAGCATTTCCTAGAAGTGTGTTTGGTTTACACACTTAACCGAGTTTTAGATATCATGACACTCAAACACCTCGCCATCTGTGAGAGATTTGCAACAGGAGGTGTGTTTTGAGTGTTTTCTAACATCTCGTTAGAGATTGAGTGACTCATTTAGAGAAATCAAGTCATTCTGATAGCAAGTAGCAGAGCAGATGTTAAAGCCTAAATGCTAGGGTTCAAACCAGAGGATGGCAAGTTGGATGGGTGAGGGCAGTTGAGAGGGCTTGGGTTTGGCTTTTTTTTGGTGTGTGTTTGGGGTTTCTTTTTTTTACTCCAGGGCAATTCAGTTACCTAGATGTGTGTATGGCTACACTGTCCCTGCTAGCAGTGTTCATTTGGGCTGTGTTGGTGAGAATTAGAGAGGCCTCTGGTCAGACAGATGTAGAAGACCTGAGCTGTTGTCTAACTGTAGTTCTCTCTTGGTTTTAGTTCCTGATTCATTGTGAGGGCACAAGGTTCACAGAACAGAAGCACCAGATTAGCATGCAGGTAGCTGAAGCCAAAGGCCTGCCCAAGCTCAAGTATCACCTGCTGCCACGAACGAAAGGATTTGCTGTCACCGTGCAGTGTTTGAGAAATGTAGGTAAGGAAAGTCACAAGGAGCAATGCTAAGTGGTTACTTCATCTAACTGCTGTCACTTTGCCACGCTCTTCTTTTCCCTGTAGCATGTGACCTAGCAGAAAAGCCTGCTAGGGATCCTTTCTGACCTTTCTTCTACTAGCCTGCAAACATTAAAGATGAGGTTTTACTTACAAAGTCCTGGGGCAATGTTGTGTTTTTTGTCTTTGTTTTGTTTGCTGTTACTGTGGGTCTCTATCGGAGGATCTCAAGTTGCACATTTCATACTTATTGCCAAAGGATAATATTTAGTATTTACTAAGTAATCCTGTTCTAAATGAAGCAAATACATCACTAGAAAATGTGAGGCAGTGTGTCTTAAATATTTTCTTGTTGTAAATCTCTACCTCAAATAACACCATTTATAAATAAATATTCTGATTTAAATATCTGTATAGATGTACTCTTTTTAGAGTTTCCTTGTGGAGCTGGGGAAGGGGAGTAGACCTCGACTGAAGATACATGCAGGCAAAATTTATAAATAAATAATTTCTACATTACAGAACATGAGTAAGTTTTAATTGGTTAATGTTGTTCTGAACTCCCCACCCCCCAGTTATTTCTGGTACATGCCTTTGCCACCTTTAAAGGGACATCAGAATATGGGACACATGCCTTTGAAGTGTTTTTGTTTGACTAATACAATCCATTAAAGTCTTCTGCTGTTTACTTCATGGGTAAAGGAAAGACAGTGCTAAGTACCCATAGTGCTACAGTATCTTTGGGGTTTGGTAGATTGTGTGTTGTTAGAAGGCTGATATGTAAGAAAGACAAAGTGGTTAGTGGTTTAGAAGAAAATGTTCTAGCTTGATTGAGGTTAATGTCAAAACTTCTTTTGTCTTTGAAGACATGTTTTCATGTGGCATATCTGGGATAGCTGCTGTAAAAGCTTTGCAGTCAGCTGTCTTGCTATCTCTCATGTTTCTTCTACATACCCTCTTGCAAGTCAGGTAGATGATATCACTGTTGTGGCTTATCGGGCATTCACAACTTCCCACTCCCAGAATGGATAGCATAGCTTGGATCTCTTCTGATATGTGAAGATGATGTAAGTTATGAGCAGCATCCAGCAACTCCCTTAGGGCACAGTTTAACCTTCCTTTTTGAATATGGGCAACTGTTTTGCTGAGGGGGAGGGGGTAGACTTGAGGCATTGAGGAAGAGCTGAGTCAAAACTCAGTGACCTCCAGTGCTCTGCGCTGGGAATCAGAGATAGGTTATTTTGGTGGTGATTTGTTATACTCATTACTCTGTGTAAAGCAAGCAAAACGTGGTATGATTATGTACGAGTATCTGATTTGTTTCAAAAGGAAACAATTTTAGGGCACCCAATGACATTTATAAAATGTTTTAGGCATTCATGTGGTACACTCTACAGTAACACTTCTTAGGATCCTAAATATTTTAATTACCTTCAGAAAAAGAAGACTGAGATTACTAGATTACTTTCGTATTTAGGGAAGTGTATGTCACTACCTCAGTCCAGAAGCTGTGACTTATAGTTCAAACAGGGTAAGGCTAGTAAGAAGGTAATATTACCCTGCAAGGGTTCAAGGAGAAGCACAGAGAGACATAACTTCTCATAGATAGATAGCTTTTGTTGAAACTGTATAGCTTAAAAACCCTACCAACAAACCTCTGAGGGAAACAGCTGATGACCCCAGGTTGGTGGTGTGAAGTCTTCTGGATATGTTGCTTTACTTGCCTTGTTGCTTTTTGCAATGAGGGGGAGATAAGAGTTACTGTCTGGGTTACTATAGGTTTCTCTTCTATAGAGACAAGGGGTACATGTGAAGAACATTTGAAAGGCTTTTGTAAACAATATCTTATTTTTAGAGCTCCTTAAAATATATAATATATAATATATACAGGCAACAGGGAAGTCCATAAATGCTTTTTGAATAGGGAATTTGAATAGGGAATGACAGTCCATAATCTATAAATGTAAATTCTATCTAGAAATTATTAATTTCTTACATGAATACTGATAGGATTTGACCACTTATCTCTGTCAACATGCAGTGGCATTTGGTACCCATGTTATAAGCAGTAATGTGTTGTTGTAGGTGTCAGTATATGCAGAGGCTATATGCTGTAGTAATTTGGACATTTTTTTGTTTTGAATATTTACATTGGTAAACAGTACTATTTGATTATTTCACTATAAATCCCCTGAGTCTCATTGTTATGCTCTGCCTTAAAACATGGCCCAGGACGTGACTGTATCCCTCCATTACAGCCTCAAATTACTTGTTCCAAACAGCATCAGTGTGACTGATGAATTGCTGCTCTGTCTGCAGAAGAAGCAGTGACTACATGAAGATGTTCATAGCTTCAGTTCAGTGACATCTCTAATGATCTACAAGAATGACTTTTGCAGGCTGACGTGTCTCTCTTGCAGTATTCACATCTACTTCAGTGGCCAAGTCTGCAGGGGGATATCCCTCCATGTCTGAAAGTGAGAGACCTGGGCTGAGCTGCCTGAGCCGGTTTTGGGGCTGGCTGCTTAGGCTAATGCACTTTCTGCCCTTCCACAAGGGGTGGTGGGCCTGGCTGGAGTGCCTGGCTAAGGGAGACAGCTGCGTAATGATGTAGCAGTGAAGGCAAGCCAAATGTTTGGATCTGGCTCCAAGCTGAGTGTGACGGAGATCAGCATTTCCTTTTCCTCTAGTCTTTGTTCCTCCTTTCTGACAAGGGTGTGATTCAACCTGTTTGAGGCTGTAGTACTATAGGATGGATGGATACTGGTTCTGTGGCTCTAGGGGTAGCTCACCCACAGCAGGGTCATCACACCTTGGTGCTTTGTGAAACTTTGTATCAATTCAGTGCTAGCTACTGCAGTAGTTCTGTGTCTGTTGGAAACAGGCATTGGTGACATCAGTCTAGCAAGTCCATCTGTTTTGAAAAACTTAGCTTCAGCAGGAATTTATTTAATGTGCATACATGAGAATCTGCCTCCATACCAGTGGTGCCATACCTGTCAGCATAAGCAGATATATTTAGATAAAAATGTCCTTCACACAAAATAACAAATAAAGAATTTTCCCTCCTAACTCATTTCTTTCATAAGTGATAATGGAACTCTTTTCAGAGACTTGCTTTCACAAATTCATATATCTGCACAATTTGGTTCTTAAAGGAGTGCTTTTAATATTTTTTTTGAACTTGTTCTGATATTTGTATTGGTGGCCATGTCTACCAGTTTGGTAGTACAGATGCAGTCCCTAGGAACTTCATTTCTAGAAGCTGTTTGCTGTCTTAATAAATTGCTGTTATGTTGTAGAGTTTGCTACCTGTACTGTTCATGGAAGCAAATGAAAATACAGGTCTTATTCTGAAGCATTCATCCATTATTTACAGTAAAAATGTCATAAATATTGCAAAAGATATATTTACTGTTACTTTTATTGCCAGGCAGTTCCTTTCAGCTGTTTTTATTTAGTTGAGACTTGTATTTAAAGATGTGCCTCACGATGGATTGTAGTTAAGTCCAGTTTGTCAGCCTTTTCCTCCAGTTGTGCATGGTGGGATCTACTGTCCTAAAGGGTGTGCATGAGAATAAATTCCAGGGTGACGTTCTAACAGAGTTCGATATGAAAGTGTTTGGGGGTTTTGCAATGACTTCTTTTCCCATGAGCTGCACTTTAAAGTCCTGGATTTTTTTTTCAGTGCTTAGTGAGGCTCCTGGTGATCCTCCTGAGCAAACTAACAAGTTTGAGAGGATGAGTGATTTTTGACCCAGATGACCAGAGCAATAAAATGTTAAATCAAAGGATTGTGTCAAGGTGGCTGTCATACCAGCAGTACAATCAATTCCATCATCTCTTCCCCTCTCTTTCCTTCAGATCATTGTGTGCCAGTATGAAGCCGTATGTAGGCATGCTCATTGCCTATAGTTTGATTTGTCAGATGATCATTCTGGCATAATCCACCATGTCCACAAAATAATGCATTAAATTAAAGAGAACAGTTGAAAAATCCTCTTTAGATATGTAATCTGAAGATTTCTTAGGTTGAAATTAAGAACTTAAATCTTAAATTCCTAAGTACGTAGCTCTCTGTCAGAATGCTTGTACAAAGAACCAAAAGGTAAAGATATTTAAAAAAGCTGGGCAGAGATTAGAAATCAAAAGAGCTGGCCTTTTTTGTCAGAAAATAGCAATTTGGCCAGAAAAATTTTGTTTTCAGTTATGATCTGTGCTGAGCTTTTGAAAAGGCTTCCAAATACTGAATTGTGTTTGTTTTTTAATGAAAAAGATATTTTAAGAGAACTTACTTGAGAAAATATTTTATTTCACAATTGAAGCAAAACTTCACAAATGCTGCCTAAATTAGTCTGGGAGTGAGACAGTTGCAATATGTTCAAGATACTGTGAAGATATTTTTTTAACTTGGTTTAGAATATGAAATTTCTTGACTTTTCAGCTTTTGGATGGGAAGGTCATGAGATGTCCGGTTCTAATTATGTAATTATGAAATACTTAATGAAAAATCAATTTTAATGTGTCATGCAGCATGCTAGTGCTGCTTTGGCTGTGCAAGCTTTCTGGCAAATTTTAATTCTGTGAAGTCTTTTTCTTTGACAGTTCTGCTATTGTTTTCCTGCACTTTCAAAATGGAAAAGCTTAAGTCTTCAGATATTTTATATCTGGATATAACAGGGGTCTCTTTACTCCTGCATATGCTATCCTTGTCTTGAATTTGGCACTGCTTCTCACCAAAAGATTTCAGTGTGATATTGAAAAGGACTGGACTGAATATCAAACTACAGACCAGTTACAAACCAGAATGGGGTATTTTTTTCCCTGGAGTGAAGGAAAACTGAGTACAGCCATCAGTGCATAAAGGTGTTCCTGACCAACTCTACAGAAGTTTTTTCAAAACAGGAGAAGCATCTTCCAGTGTGTCTGAGCAAGCATGCAACTCATATCAAAACTGAAATGTAGATGTCTTCTAAATGACAAAAGGACAAGTGCTGTGTACATCATACTTTCCTTTATTGTGTCCCTATTGTCGTTAAAATAATCTCATGCTATTAATGAATAAACTAAGAAGCTTACCCCATATAAACCAAATTGAGCTCTTGTCTTCCTTCAATTACACTGGATTAGTAAATTAGAGTGGATTAGTAAAATCCTTCTACACTAAGAAGCTTAAAAATGGAGGTAGATAATTTATTAAAAAAAAAGTAATTTCCTACTTATATTGTACAGGGAGAGTAGTGTGCTTGAAGTAGATTTTGGCTTATGTGTTGTAGTTTTGAGTTTAGACTAAAAATCCGACTGTAGTAGGAAAAGAATAGAGTTGTTAATGAGGGATACGGTCTGTATGCAGTGACAGGGTTTTGGCCTCTGTTTTCAGGATTTCCTTGCAGTGCTGAAGCCAGGCTGTTCTGTTCTGCACTATGAATTCTGTTTTGCAATAACAAACGTGGTGAGTTTCTGGGGACTGAATGTTGTGATCACGCTGTATTTCTCTCTCATAGCTAGAGAGACTTCAAAACCAAAAGCAAATCTGTTCTGTGTAATAAAAGGCTTTCTTAGGTGGGTCAAGAGCTGTCACAATAAAGGTTCATCACAGTGTTCATTATTGCAAATCCCTAGAGCAGAAAACCTAAAATAACAGCAAGCTGCACGTGAAGTGCATGTTAGTCACTTTTGTGACAAAAAAAAAGTTTTGTTTCTGGCATTGATCTTAGAATTCATACCACGATGCACAGTTGGTTTCAGTGTCAGGATAATTAATTGCTTTCTGGTAATTTTGTGACATCAGGAAAACAGTGTCTCTAAGGATGTGTTCAAATAAACTTTTTTGAAATGCTTTGTGTAGTTAAAAACAGTGAATGCTTTTTCTGTAGAACCTGCTTGTTAATGCTGTCTTAGTTTAAATATGAATGACCTTTGCAAATACTGTTGCTGTGCAGTCCTGAACTGCAAAAACTGTTTTCTGGAGGCTGAAAGTTTGGCTGCCAGTTTTGTTCTGCAGAATGTGGATGTTCTATTCCTCACAGCTGCAGGTCCTCATAGCAGCAGCCCAGCTCACACAGGATGTGGTCTGTTACTCTGTTTCTGCCTTCACCCTATAGCAAGTGCCTCAGTTCTCAAGTAACGGACATTGAAGGGGAGGTTGTCTTAAACCCCAGTGATCATAGTTGCATTAAGCCCTTTGGCTGTAGGATGTCTCACACACACTTTACCCATTCTTAGTCAAACTGTAGATATTGTTAATTGCTTATGAAGTGTGTATCTGCCTGGTTATTCACCCAGATTTCGGGTGGGAGTTGTGCTATTCGCAGTTAGTTGAGAAAGCTAATAGTTTTTCAGCCATTTGACTCCTACAGTGTCTTAGGTATGTTATCTGTCAGAAACTGTAACTGTGTTCCCTATGCCCAACATTCTGCACCTGATGGGGAAGGCGGCATGGGTGGAGAGCAGACCTTTCTAGTCTACTGGTAGTTCCAGAAAGGGTCACTGGTTATTTGGCCTTTTAAAGCCTGCATGTTGAATATTCCATTGTCATCTCTACCTTGGTGACAACTCAAACTATGGAGCTATTGCTGATGACTCCATATTTACATATGCTCATTGTCTGAGAGAGAACGACATTTCCATTTTATTACTACAGTACTTACATAACCTGTTTCTCTTCTTGTAGTTTCTGCAGTCTATGATTCTACCCTCAATTTTAGAAATAATGAGAATCCAACGTTGCTGGGAGTTCTAAATGGAAAGAAATATCATGCCGATTTATATGTAAGGCAAGTAATCCATATTTCAATTCCTTTTTTTGTCATACAGGAGCGTGTACTTGCAATCACAATTGCATAAATAAGGAAATATTTTCAACCAGGTAACAGATAGCAAATCTGTAGTAACCTGACTTCACAGAACTGCAGATATAAACTCATATGGGATGGAAAGGTTTTCTTGTAAAGTTCTGTGACTTTATATGTGTGAGGATCCTATAAAGGTCTACAGATTTTTTTTTTATTTTTTTTTTTAATTAATTTGCGTGTCTATTTGTCAACTTAGCAGCAACAGTGGGGCCTCTTCACTCACTTGGTCAGAATACCAAACATCTACTCAGTGTTCGGATGGAGTGGCTTTACATCTGTCCCTGGCACAATAGTTCCCACTCAGGTGGAGGCCAGGCTCAGGACTGTTCCAATCTCTTTTTGGTGTAGCTATTGATGTATTTGACTGCCACTCTCTTCTTACCAAGAAAGGGGGTTGTTTAATGAAAAAAACGATTACCTGGATTCTGTATCATTAATGTTTCTGTAAGTGCTGAATACCCCAATGGTTTCACATAATCTTAATGGGAATGGGCCAATTCCAAGGCTGTTATTCCTAGACCAGGTTCTACCAGCAGCACCCATGCTGCAGGCATTCAGGCTATGTGATGGTTTAGGGTTGGAGCATAGGAGCCCAAAAGTGATCCCACAAGTGGCCAGGAGTTCATCATAACCCTTTTATAGCTATAATTGTCTGGTCCAATTGGTTTATCTTGGGTACTGACATGAAGCATTAGTAGGGTGACCTTTTCTTCTTACCTCCACTTTCTTTCTGTTTGAAAAAATACTTTCTTCACAACTTTTTGGTCAAAGGTAAAAAAACCTTTCTTTTGATTCCTCGTGGATGCAACAGGAATTTGCATTCCCACTTGGCTATCATGGGTAGCTCAGCCTAGTGGCCTTGTGTTTGGTGTACATGGCCTGGCTGGCTAGTGTTCATGGAGGAGCAGCTGGCCCTACCTGAGTGGGACATTCCTCCGGCAGTGTCGGTAGAGGTGTGCATCTTGCTGTGTCTCCCTTTACACCCTTTCAGCCTCCTGCAAGTTAATCTGGCAGAGCATAGAAATTGCTTTCCATGACATGGGCTAGCTATTTGTCTTTTTGAGCTTCCTGAAAAGGAAACCTCATGGCAAAATTTATTTTGGCAGTTAATTGGGGACCATCACAGATGTTCTTCAGAATCCTCCATATTTGCTTATTGAAGTGCTGTAGCTGTTGCACTCAGTAGAAATTTGTAAAATTTGGATGGCCTTGTTTGTCTCTGCTTAAATTGTGATGACTTACAGTGTTTGTCATCTTACGGCTTCCTTTAATGCAGGAACAAAACTGTAGTGTCACACCTCTTAATTTATCAGCTGCGAATAGGAGCATCGTGACTGTGAAAAGTGCCCTCTCCTGTGCTGAAGGAAGTTAATTTGATGTTGCTCTTAATAGATATTAACTAAAACACATGCTATATGGAAAAAAGTTAAAATTATTAAATATTGCTATTAGCATACATAAACAAGGATGACAGGGGGATTTTTTTTTTCTGTCACAGGATTATTGACCAAAATTCATGTAATGTGATGAAAACTTTGTTTTGTCAAGACAGGGTTTTTCAGTGATAGGAGCCATTTTGCTGTAAATTATCCACCCAGGCTGCATGCAACAAAATTACAGGAATTGGAAATGCTACCTGAGAAATACTAGAGTGCTTTATCCTAGGTATAAGGAGAACAGCTTGGGTTTTTTCTCCCTAATGCCAAGCTGTTTAAATACAGTCTTGAACTCGATAGGTAGGATAAGAAATCAATTTATTTAAAACCTTTGTTTGGAAACAGAAAATTGCAAACCTTTATCTAGGAAGTGGCTCTACTGAGCTCAAACATAGTGCAATACTATTTCATAAATCTAAATTTCTGAATTTCAGCTACATCTAAAAACTAAAGGTGACTCTAGAAGCAAACTATACTTTGCTGTTCTGGGAGCTGTAACCATGAATTAAAAAAAGATGGAAAATATATTGAGTCTCCTGTCAGATAGATAATCTGTCTGTATAATGTAAGTGCTGTTCATGGGAGCCAAAGTATTTCATATTATTCAATTTCTCTTTTTTTACCATTGGCAGGAGGATTCCGCTAGAGGAAGTCCCAGAAGATGAGCAGGAATGTTCTAACTGGCTCCACAAACTGTATCAAGAAAAGGTTGGTTTTTTGTCTAGACAGCATTTGCAAGCCACTAGTGCTCAGTTATTTATACTGCTAGTAGACCTTTACAGTGTGCATGTGTAGTGGTCCTGTTTTGGGGGCCTGGGATGGCTTGGTTGATTTGGGTTTTTTTTTCAGGATAAGTGCCCTGTTTCTCCAGACACAAACTGGTCTTGTGCTGTCAGTCATGATGGCCTTTATTTTGTACTTAAAGAACAACAGGAAGAAAACTTAAGCAATCCTCAATAGAGTAGTTTTAAAACTCTTGTTTAGAAAGTTGCATAAGGATACAAAAAATACAACTACCTCCTGCCTGGTAGAAGGACCTCCTTCCCCTTAAAGGCACCTCTGAAATCAATAAGTAATTTGTGGGCTAAATGAGGTATATTTTGCTTTAGCGTATTAGAATTTTTTGTCCCTTGTTTTACCCTATCTTTTTTTACCAAGGCAAAGATCCAACATTAATAGAACAGGCTGATAAATTGCTTTCACATTGTGTGCAAAAAAGGCATGCATTTAAGATTCCTAATTACATAGGATGTGGGCAGAATAATAATGACTGTGTTTGTAAGTGCCTGGTGATTTTTATTTTTTTTTTTCCCCAAAAAAACTACTTTTGTATGTGTCTTTCAAAGTTTCCGAAGCTGTTTCTCATGGGTTTTGTTTACATCAACATAGGAGATAATGGCTGGGAGATGCACTCTTTGAATACAGGCAGCACTCCCATTTCAGTCAGTGGGAGTCACAGGTATGCAAGGCATGAGAGCCTGGCAGCTTGGTTTGCTGTAATAAATTGATTTCAGTTATGTATTCAGACTGTAATACAGTAGGGCTTCATATTTAGAAGTGATAAAATATAGCTACATTGTGGTTTTCTCTCACAGGGGCAGCAAAATTCTGCTGTGCCATTTATACTTCACCCAGAACACAACATTAACATTTCTGTATTGACTGTGTTCTACTCTTTCTTGGCTTCAAATCATGACTGTTTCTGGTTTAATTCATTGCCCCTCTAAGCAGCTTGCTTACAGGAATGTGAAAAGTTACTGTGTATTGAGACCTCAGTTATAGATCCACTAGCTTTGCCTCTGATCTCGCTTCTTGTATGTTGTGCCACTAGCACCTAATTCAGACACAATCGCCAACACCTTTCTGCAGGAAGGCATTATGTTACCCATGGGCCTGTGCTCTCTCTGTGGGCATATAAATGCAGGTGGCCCTTTTGCTGAACATTGCAAAAGTCCACTTTCTGCTGCCATGACTTTATCTGTAACCCTGTTTCATGTTCCTAAAAACTCTTTGGACATTTGCAAGAGAAGAACGTAAATCAAATGAGAATATGGTGATTGTTTTCCTGAATACCTTATTACATAGTTTGCTATGTAACTCACTCAAAGTTGTTTCTGTTATTCCCTCTTTGGCGAACACTCAGTTATTTCTAGTGCATACATCTTATCCTGCTTTCTTCATAACAACTTAGTTTGCTGGTTGGTTAAATCCAGTTTCCTATTAAGTATAGGAGGAAGAGATGTTCATTCAGTTCTCCTTTTCATTAAGACCTTTTTGGTTGTGTGGCATTTTTTTGAATGATGGGGGTATTTTTGGTTTGGTGGTGGTTTTGTTTTTTTCTGAAAGTGGCATAATCTTCTTCCTTCAGCTGTTTTGCATCAGTGAAACTGTTACTTCATTTCAGACATTCATGGTTTACACAAGACCATGTCTCTGTAAGATCAGACTGGGAGAATATAGAGCAGGGACAACTTCTTCAAGACTTCTGAGATGATGAAAGCCCACCTGCAGGGTAAAAATGCAGTTCTGTTTCACCTTTCTGTCATGCATCTTTAAAGACATAATTGTCTCTTAAGTTGGATAACAAGCAGCATTGCCCCCTAGGTGTTGTTTCCAAAAATGAATTCTGTCCTCAGAGTCAGTAAATAATTATGATAAAATGTACCAAATCTGTATTCAGTTGGCAGTAATTTGTTGCAAGATATGCACTCATCCCCTGGTTGTAGCACTCCACTTTCTGTTTCAAAGTAAGGCAAGGTATGCACACTACTGAAAAACAGAGCCCCTGTTTTCTCTTACATTATGGTTGCATGTGCCGTAGCTTATTCTCAGTGATTTTCATAATTTTGCAGTATCTTCTCAAGACTTACATACTGTGTGCTGAATTATGCTCTAGTAATAGGTGGGGTCTGCCACAGGTACTGAGATCAAGGCTGGAGTACCGTGCACTTGTGATAAGGGCCACAAAGCTGTTTAAATGAGTAATGAAATCAGCACATGAAGGGACATTAATTTTTTTTTCTTTTTTTTTTTTTAAACTGTCATTAGTAAAAGAGTGAGAGTCTTTGAAAAAATCTTTTTCCATTTTTTTTTACCTCATTGTCTGATCTGTTACATGTACCTCTATCTGAGATGCTGCTCTCTGGGAGTCTGGTATGTTTATGTTCTTGCTACCTATCACTTCGTGTTCTGCAAATGCAACGAATAGGGCCTTGCCAGATAAACAATGGCACTGTGCTGTTCTAAACCAAACACTGTTGTTCTTCCTTTCCCAGGCTTACAGTAAGCACCGTGTCCACGTACTTCTTCCCTAGCTGGGGTGAATTTTGTCCTTTCACAGATGGCCAGCACTGTATTAGTTAATGCAAAATTATGACAGAGCTGCATTTTGGGTTGCACACATCTTCTTTTTCTTTGCTTTTTGAAGCTGCCATTGCTAGAAAGACTCCCTTTGACTTTAATAAGGCACAGGCTGAGCATCTTAGCTGCCTGGTCTGAAGAGGTGCTGTATAATAGTTACAACTCTGCCAGCTCTTGCATGTTTGTTTTCTTTTTTCACCTCCTTACAGCCTCAGTGCCTAAAATAGAGTTCTACTTCAGAATCTTAATTTCCATTAAAAAGAAAGCAAGCTTCTAACTCTTCTTTCTTGTAAGAGAAGCATGGAAAACAGGGCATGAAAATATATGCTGAAATGCCCCTGGGAATTAGCAAAGCATAACTGAAGAGGGGAAGTGAACAGAACTCAAGTGTTCAGGAACAAAGGATATATTTTTGGATACTTTTCTTTATGGGCTTCCTCATGAAAGGGCAGTGGCATACCTCTGCAGTCAGACCTCCCTGGTGGGAGCAGGGAGGAAGAATCCAGTTAGCCTTTCACAAGATGATGGATGTTTCCTGATTTCCCCCCACTGCATTACCCACTCCACTGTGTGAAGTAACTCAGATTTGGTGGGGGCATTAGAGGGAGCATGTTTCTATGTCCAAATATGATACTTGGGTGGGTGGGATGTATTACAAACTGAAGACAAGCTCTGTATGCAGGGGAATGAAAGGAACTTAATGTGGGCGAGGTGATTGAGGGGAATTGAGGTACATCATGGGTTTAAATGCTGGCTTGAGCTGTTGATGGGTACACATAGGCACTCTTGCAAAAGCTTAGAAGACAGATCAACCCACAGATCTCTACTGCAAAAATGTGAATGTTTTTAAGGGTAAAGTATGGTAACGGAATTGAAGAGCTGTTCCCCAGAACAATGTGGAACATGTAGTGGAGGTGATGGCAGTGATATTGTTTTGCCCGTTGTATATTTCTTTCATCTGTTTCATACCTCTTGGTGAGATGTGGTCAGCAGTTTTGCTGCCCCTAATGCTGCACAGAGCAAATAAAGAGAAAACTGCTGGCCTGTTTTAAATAAGTGTGCCTGGCTCTCTGTAGCAATAGGCCCCCTAATGGCAATACGAATAATAGTCAGAAATTCTTACCTTTTCAGGGCAATACTGGTATTTAGAAACCTCATTGTATATAGTAGCATTCAATTTACTGATGATTGGTAGCTCTGTGTCAAATCAGTCATAAACTGAAATCCTCAAGGCACTGTAAAGAAAACTTCATACACTGGGTAATTTGATGAAGACAGCTAATTAATTGGCCATAGTGATCCCAGTACAGTCTAACTCACATGCGCAAAATAGTCATAATTTTTCTAATCTCAATAGAGTGAAATGCTTTAATTACTGTGTAATCTCTTAAAAGCTGAATGTTCCCTTTGAAATAGATAATGGTAGCAGCCTGTAATTGCTCACGTTGATATTAAATAAGTAAAGAATTGTCTGTGTCAGCTGGAGTGTAAGGAAATGTAAAATCATAGCATAGTAGAAATAATCTTGTGGTTGATTAGGACCAAAACAAAATTAGGCTTTGCCAGAATTTTTGGAAACCATCATAAAGCATTCCTTTCTTTGAAGAAATTTGGTACTTCATTCTGACTAGATTGAGGTTCCTTTTTATGTCAGTTTAATGCTGACTTCATTAATTAACCAACTTTATGTGATAACACAGATTATAATAATCTTTGCTTTTGAACTAGCAGGAAGGGTTTTTTTTCCCCCACCCACTTTGATATCTTAGGTTGATATCACATTGCTACAGGCAATGCTGTTCATCCATATGGGCTCTAGAGGAAGGTACTGAATTCTAAGTCTTCCATGCTTTAAAAAAAGCTCACCGCAAAACAACAACAACAACAAAAAAAACAACCAAAAACAAAAACAAAAAAACCCACTCCTCTGTTTTCCTCATATGATACTAAAAGGGAGAGTCCTTTGGTCAAAACCAGTGAGAGATTCTAAACTATTTGCATGATCAACTGTCTATAAGAGGTTCAGCACCCCAACTTCCTTCCGTAAGCCTCATGGGAACAAGATGAACAAGACTGCATCTATGGGAAAAAGCTGACAGAAGGGACTGGTGTTCCTTGGAGTATGGGACAAGATGGTGTCTTCTCACCTTTTCTGACAGGGCTGTTGATGCTGTTTCAGTGCAGTGGTTGGAGAAAACATTAGGGAATAGAGGATATGATGCTGAATATGTAGCCCAAATGCTTCTCTGGCTTACCAGCAATATTTGATCAGTGGCTGCAGCCCTTGCAGGAGGTTCAACAGTGATGTCTGCATTGCTGCAGGAGCGCACATCCCCTCACCCTTCTTGTTTTACTGGGCTTGTTATAGTCTCCAGGCATGCTATTTTCCAGGCTTCTATATGTCAGAGAAAGAAAGAGGCACACATCAATGTAAGCTCTTCTTTTTTTTGTCTGTGTGCTTGTTGACTTCAAAGTACGAGCTTTCCAGCCATGACTTGGTCTTTGATCTTCCCCTGCGGTTACAAGCCTGAAGAAGGAGGAACATCAAAGTCGGGAATGGCTAGTTTTGCTGGCAGATGGGGATTTAATTGTTGCCCTCCTTTGTTCTAATAGGATGCGTTCCAGGAAGAATACTACCGAACAGGAACCTACCCAGCAGTCCCTATAGTACCACCCCGACGACCATGGACACTTTTGAACTGGCTTTTCTGGGCCTTATTGCTGCTATATCCTTTATTCAAGTTGCTCATCAACATGATCAACAGTGGATCATCACTGACACTGGCTACTTTTGCATTTGTCATCGTAATGGGTAAGTTTTCTGAAACAGAAAGATTACTTACAGGGTAACTGTCAGATATCATTTATTGAGGCTTCCTAAATATAAACATGACTTGCGAATTCAACAGACCAGCTGATACTATACCCACTTTAGCCTGGAATAGGTTAAATAGATTATTTTTTGTTTGTTTATTTTTGTATGCTTGTGTTATTTTTTTGTAAGAGCTACATACAAATTTTCTGTTTCTGTAAAAATCAAAACAGTAACATTCCAGTGGGTTGCCGAAAAAAAGCTTTCTTTTCTTGTGTAGCGTGTTGCTGGGTTGTACTACGAATGCCTGGAAGAGATGCTTAAGGATAATGTATTCTGTTGAGAATTCTTTCATCTAATCATAGTCTTATATGTCATCCAGTGGAATCCATGAACTTGCGATTTAAGGACAGCCTATTGTGGCCATCTACTTAGGTAGCACAGGACATAGACTATCACAGGTGATTCCTACAGTTCCTGTGGTAGTTCTGAATTGCCCTGGTTTCTGTTTAAACTAGTATGTTACTTAAGAGAGGAGGAAGGAAAACAAACAAGGAGCTGGCCCACAGAAAGGGGGGAAGACCTCATTTGGTATCCTTCATGGAAGCAGGAACCAGGTCAGTTTTGCAAATTAGATTGTATCTGGGTGTCTGTGCTTTCTGGCATATTAAGTGCCTGTTTGAAGAGTAAGTTCCCTTCCAGAATAAGCCATACATTTATAAAGCAAATATTTTCAGTGGCTGCACTGACCATCACATGTATTTATGGTTTCATCACCTTAGTGTCTGTGTATATTGCAAAAACCCTTTGAAAAAGAAACAGAACTTCACAGTCCTTCTCACTCCTGAGTGAACTTGGATGCAGGGATAGTAGAGTTAGCTTAAAAAGCCACGTCCAGAATAGTAACATGGAGGAAATAGGAAAACATAGAGCATTTTCTTGTCTCAGAAGTGCATCTTTGGTTTCTACCTACAAGATTGTTTGTACTGCATAATATTTCTTTGCATTCTAAGAAATCTGAATCTTGAGTAGGTCCCATGCTAGTCTATTTAAGATGATGTCCTTTTGCACATCTGTGATATGGTAGGCACACAATATCCTTTTTCAGAAAGTGCCCACAAAATCAAACTCCATTAGCTACCATGGAAGCTTCTTATAATTGGAGAAAGAAGAATTTGTGTGTGTGTGTATGTGCATGCATGCAGGAAATCTGCATCATGGTGCTTTGGGCCAAAGGAAAGAAAAGAAGAGCAAGGATAAAGTCCAACATATTAGTTGGTAAATTAATGTGGACAAGGTAGAGGGAAAGGAAGGGACATCCTATGCTCTTGTGTTTACCTGGACAAATTGTTGGTGCTTTTTACCCTGGAAATGATTTATGTAAAATGTGTAAGAGTTTCTTGGAGCAGGGACTACAACTTAGAAGCATTTTTTTTTACCCACCTTACCTTTTGGAAGGCACAAGTAGTGCCCCACCACCACCACATACATCTTCTCTGACTAGTGAATAGGGTGGGAATGAAGAGTGAGTACATTGGTTGGGGTGTGCTTCTCAGGAACGTGAGGTGTTAGGTTCAATTCCTCTTCAGTAGCAGAGAAAGGTCAGTCGGTCTTCCCTGTGCTCAAGTTCAAACTGTGTATACAACAGTGGGTGGGATGAGGTGTGACACCATTGCAAATGCTACATCCCTGGCAATAGCACTCAGGAGAGCACTTGTTCTGTCTTTGGAAGAAATGCTGGCATAGTCTGCGTTTGGTGCTGGGCTGGGGAACAATGGCCTGATGGGGCACTAAAGCTTAGCCATTCCAAAGTTTTTAAAATTTCTCATATTTCCTTCAGCATTTTCCTCTTAATTTGGTTGCTCCACTCAGGGGGATGATTGGTTGGGTGCCATTCCAGAGTGCCTTGTGCTTTGCATGCCCTTCACAGGGAACTTCGCTGCATAATTTCGGGGTTTCTAGATTTTAACCTCGGGGCTGGATGATGTAATGTTTGGCATTGTGGCATCTGTGATGCTTCTGGATTTAGCCCTTACTAATTTAGTTAAGTGACACCACACCCTTCACCCCCCACCCCAAGTCCAATACCATCTTGCCATTAATGGCCTTTACAACTAGCTCATGTCTTCTCTCTATCAGGAAGTGAGGGGAAAGAACCTGTAAAGAAAAAAAGCTATGATGCTCCTAAGAGTGGACTGCAAAAGAGCCCTTTTCTTTCTTTTTTTTTTTTTTTTTTAATCTTTCTTGCTGTCTTACTCCCCACTTAGCTTTATTCTGCTTCTAGCCACAAGGAAAGGTTAATAAGCAGGCTGCTGTGAGTCCTCTTTTGAATGCAGTGATAATCCAGTGGACTTGCTTTCAGGTTATTTGTAACACTGGAGCCAACAGGAAACCACAGCAGCAGTCTGTTGCCAGAATGAACGCATGAGCTCCCAGGCTTCAAAAGCACAGCTGAGGACCCCATTAAGAATGGCAAGATTAATGGCCCACTGTGCCCATGTGCATTGCTGCCCCATACATCTCCGCCACATCGGTGGGATGGCACAGGTTGCAGTCCTCTGCAACCTTTGAAAGACCCCTGTGCTTAGCAACAGCTCTGCTCTCTCTCTGAATATTTGGGGTGATTAAACCCAAAGTACTTGTAATTGGCCAGGATTTGTGGTGCAGCAGGAGACACTGCATTGTCTGTAATAGAGGCCGTCACCTAATTAGACTTAGCCAGCCACCTCTTGCTGATGAGCAGGCAAAAATGATGATGGTTGTCACTTATTAGCAGATAGGTGCCCTGAATCTGTGAGAGTGGAATGAAGCTTAGCCTTCAGTAAAAACAAAGAAAAAGCAGAGCTGGTTTATCTGGGTCACTTAAAAGTGCATGTGTCACTACTCACCAAAAGAGCAACAGTTCCCTTACTGTGTTGTAGTCTGTATCTGTTTTACTCTATCCCTTTAAAAGCAATGTTATTACTAGTTAAGAATCATTGGTCTTGTTCTGTGGAAGCATCTCAACTTCAGCCAAAGCTGTCACATTGACTTTAGTAGTCAGTAGCTGAGTTTCTGTAGGAGGGCTGTTCTCTCAAAACTCTGCTCTATATCCTGAGGGGTGTCTCTGTCATGAATGTCCTGGGAGTGACGCAGCCGACTTCTGACAGAGGAGCAACTGATATTTTATTCTGCAGTTCTGCCTCCAGCTTTAGGCAAGGCCTCAGAAGTGACTTCAGCAGTGGCTGGGAGGTAGCAGTAGATGAACACAAATGTACCCCGGAAGTTGTGATCCTTGGTGCCAGTTGGAACTGTCTGTCTGGCAGGTCCAGTCTGTAGCAAAGCAGGGTGGACTGTATTTGCTGTTCTCCATTGTGAGTGGTAATCGGTACCTGGTGGCTTAACAGTGTAAAAGGAAGCTTTTTCTGTAAATCAGGATTTACCATTGTGATCAGATGATAAAACTGCTGTTTCACATTGCTTCTAGGAGACCTTTTCCCTCTGTTCGTTAACTGAAGCAGCACAGGTAGTTGCATTTGGGATATTATTTTTTCATATGGCAATTTGACAGCTCACCTGATGCTCCAGAATTGAGAAGCTTATTGCAGTCCCTGATAGCCCATTATAAGTAGACTGCTGTTTCTAAGGGCAGATTTCAGTACCGGATAACATTACCTTTATTAGCATAGGTGCAGATAGCACAAGAGATGTGCATAAACCTTCTGTGGTAGGAAAGAGCGGAGGAACTAGGAGGTCTTTTTACCTGGTACCCTCTGCTTTGTTTCCAGAGTGTCATTTCTCTGTTGGACAGTCTCTGCTAATTGTGTTCTCCAGTAAAACACTTACTGGATTGTAAGTAACTGGCTGTTCAGGTGGAAAGAGCCGTAAGAGAAATTCCCCATGGCGGTCAGTCTGGAGTACAAGCACTGTAATACCTCAGACCCTAACTCTCAGATCCAGGGAATGAATAACCAGTGTATATATAACTCTGCTGGTTCAGCTCAAACACTTTCAGCCCTAAATAAACGATGTCTCCTCTTTATACTGAGAATGCTGAGCCATCCCCTCTTGCTTTGCTGGGCAGCAGTCTGGCTATTTATACTCACAATAATCATTGCATTGTGCTAGTATCTAACTACCAGCCTGGGACCAGGACCCTTTTGTGATACTACTTGAACCAACACAAGGCAGTCCCTGCTCCAGAGGATAAATGCTCAAGCAGTTTGAGGGACAAAAGTCTCTTTGGAAAACTGGGTTTAGTTGCATAGGACACATGGCAAGAGAATTATGTACTTAGCTCATAACTGCTATTTAAAACTTGGGGCTGATATTTTGGTGTTAAAGCAGTGAGCAAGTCTGTCAAATGTCAGTATATGAATTTGACAGCTGCTTCTTTTTTTTCCCCTCCTCCTGCTTCCCCAATCTCTTTTGACTCCAAAGAACCCAGCATTAGGTTGTCTTTCATGTTTTGGTAATCTGTGTTGAAGAGGACAACCTTCATGCTCCAGAAGTATTTTATTATGGAGCTGTCAACAGCAGTTAAAAGGGGATTGTTGGTGCTGTATGCAAAAGATGAGAGGGCTTATCCTGGCTTTTAAATTAAGAAGTAGCTCTTACTTGTCTAATGTTAAAAGCATAATGGCATCTGGGCTTATGGCACGGAGCCAGCCGTTAAGTATCAGTTACAGGAAAGAAAAGTAGTTCATCTAAACCAAGTGTAAGTAGTAATGAGCCAGCTTTGATTCTGCAGAAGCTGTTGTATGTCTGCTCTACAGTACACGCATGGTGCTATTGGAAAACCCATTTCCAGAGTGCAGACTACAAACTGTGAGTGAGTCTTTGGTGACCTGACAGTGTCCAAGTGCAGAACATGGACCGAAGGGCCAGAGCATGATGTGATCTGGGCAGCAAGCTGCTGATGCCCGTAAGCTGAGATGAGTGGAAGGTGAGGAGAACACAAGCCAGCGGTGTTAACAGTAAATTTTACAACAGCAGGAGGATACAAATCGTGTGTAGGATTCTGCTGGTTGGTGGAGCTGACAGATAATCTGACCTTTCAGCCTGGTGCCTAAAACTGTTCGGGTTTTTTTTTTCACTTGCTTGTTTCTTCTCCTTAATAGTATATAAGATAGGCCCTAAATAGCAATCTCTACCATTCACATAAGCTTTAATTGTACAGATCTTAATTTCAACATATAACCCATGTAACTCAGGTGTACAGCAGACTATATACAGGAAATTTTTATACCCCTACCTGCTGTGCTGCTTATGGCACTTGCTGTGTGGTACAAACCCCAGGTAACAGATGAGAAGAAATCCTGAGGTCTGAGTTTTTTGCTGAGGGATGTGTTACTATATGTGAGGTGGTGGTTTTCTTGGAGCTAAAATATGTTCCAGAAAAGAGATTCCATTATTGGCTCTGTCAATTTGTGTTAGTTCAGTCTTCCCTCTGGCAGGCAGAGCAGGTCCTCAGCAACCTCCTGCAACTTTTGGCTGGTGGGTAATGATGGGCAGAAAGATGGCAGGAGCTCAGTTACCTTCTGTAGTTTCCCATGGAGCAGTGCAGGGATGCCTTAGCTGATAGCTTCTCTCTTCTGCTCTTCTCAGAGTGGGCTTAAACTCTCAGCTGATTAAGTTATGCACAATTCCTGCCTGATCTCCATCTCTCCCCTTCCTTGTAGTAAAAAACTTAAGTCCCCCTTACTATAGTTGTATTTAAAACAACAGCAGAATAAATCCTTAAACATGATGATATCACTGGGGTGTGCACTAAGGCTCCAGGAGTTGTGGCGAGGCAGGCAGTGCAATAAGAAACCACTGAGGCACCCCAGCTTTGCTTCCAGAGGCTTGGTGAACAGCAGCTGTCCCTTCTTGCACTCTGCCTGCCCCAGGGTGCTGAGGGCTTCAGGGTGAAATGAGGACAGGAGGGCAGTGGCAACTTCTGCCAGGGAGCAAAGAAGAAAAAAAACCCCAAACCTGAACTGCTGAACTAGGTGTTTTTTGATATCTAGGCAGTGTCATGCCTCGAACTGGATGAAATCCCCAATGTGCTGTGTGGTTGCTATAACAGCTGCTCTTATTTATGCTCTGTGCCCTGCTCCAGATGCTGTTTCTGTCCCTTCTGGATAAAGCCTTAATAATTTCATGCTTACTCTTAAATTACAATCCCAGACTGCAGGCTGCATGTTGGATCTTCCTCTTGTCTTCCTTAGCTCATGGTCAGTTAAATGTCAGAGATGTGTTTTTCTTTTCTATTTGTGAAAGTGAAACCCTTCACTTGTCCCAGTTGCGTGTGTTTCCAGTCACAGACTAACAGTGGTGTGTGACAGTGAACTCCCTAGGAGCTATCTCTCTTTCTGGGCTGTGCACTGCACAGGGCTCTGCCTGTGAGAGGGCCTTGCTTTCCTGTTCCCTCAGCATCCCTAAGACGTGAGGGCAGCCCCACGGGCAGCCCAGCTTCCCCACTGCACCACTGTCTGTTTCAGCCATCACTGTGTCACATCGCGTGTGGCTCATCTCAGGTATCCGATTACCACCTGCACTTCTAAAATCTGTCAATTTATTGTCTTAGTACAAAGCACAAGTCTGTAGTTGATTGCTTTATTTTCAAGTGCTGGTATTGTGAAAGAACAAAACACAATCAGACAGAAAACAGTAGCTGAGGTGGGAAGGCACCTCTGGAGAACTTTTTGTCCAAACCCCCAGCTCAGAGTAGGTCCCGCTACAGCAGGTTGCTCAGGACTGTGTCCCATCGGTTTTTGAGCATCTCCAAGGACAGAGACTCTACAGCCTCCTTGGTCAGCCTGTGCCAGTGTTCATCACCTGCACAGTAAAGGGTTTTTTTCTTCCTTATGCACAGAGGGAACCTTCTGTGTTTCAGCTTGTGCCCATTGCCTTCTGTCCTGTCACTGGGCAGCACTGAGAAGAGCCTGGCTCCGTATGTTTTACACCTTCCCATTAGATGTTTATACACATTGGTAAGATTGCACTGAGCTCTTCTCCAGGCTGTGACCAGTCTGAGCTCTCAGCCTCTCCTTGTATGAAAGATGTTCCTTCCACTCCAATCACCTCTGTGCCCTTCACTGGCCTCACTCTAGTCTGTGCCTTTCTTGTACCAAGGAGCCCAAACTGGAGTCAGCACCCCAGATGTGCCTCACTAGTGCTGAGCAGGGGGAAGGATCATCTCTCTCAACCTACTGGAAATCCTCTTCCTAATGCAGCCTTGGGCAGCTTTGTCCTCCTTTCCCACAAGGACACACTGCTGGCATCTACCAGGAAGCCCAGGTCCTTCTCTACAGAGCTGCTTTCTAGTCTATCTTCTTACTTAGTTATTTATTCATCTTTTTCATGTTGCCTTACATTTGCTCGATAGTCTGTGCTCCACTTCACTTCAAAAGAGGTTGCTTGAAGCACAAGAGAGAAGCGGCTATTTATAAAAGCAATGATTTTGCATGGTTGATGTGGTAGCACCAGGTTACAGCTGGACAAGCAGCTGGTAAAACACAGAGCAGCACTGGTTACCAGCTGACAGCCCTCACCCCTGCCTGTGCTGAAGAGCAGCAAAGGCCCCTGGGCACAGGGTGCTGTATCAGCCCTGCTGTTCACACTTGATACCAGGCAGTGGTATGAAGCATCTGGCTTTTGGTGATCTTGGGCTCTGACTTGAGCATAAGGAGTTTTTTGGCTGGTGAGGAATTGTTCAGGGTCATCTTAGAGAGGTGAAGACCGATGGGAATGAGACTTCTAAGAGCATCTCACAGCACTGTGCCTTTTCACTGTTGGTCAAGAAGAAACTGGGATTTGGAAGCTTAGGGCAGGTTTGTGGCTTTCTTGGGTTCTTTTGTTTTTGTTTTAGAAAAAGCATTCTGAGCAGAGTGAAGGTGTTTGTGACTTCTGAGTAGGTTTAGGCCTGAAAGAAGTATGGCAGTTCTGGATATGTTAAAAAAGGATATTTTTTAATCAAGATCTGAAGTGCCCTTGCACTTGCTCGTGCTCTTCCAGGCACAGGAGCAAGCAAAATTCCCTTCCCCTGTCACACTTTGCGTGTGGACACATCAGTACATTTGTCACACAATTCTGGGGAGCCAGGTAATGCCAGCAGCCCCAGAGCACCCCCTTTCACAGCCAGTCTTGTCTGAGGCTTAACAGGGCTGAGCATGTCAGTGTGTGCCTCTCACACCCCTCCCGCTGGTCTAGCCTGAGGCCAGTGAGTGAGGATCCTCCTCAACGAAATACCGTGGGCAAATTACTTGATAGAGGGGCAGGGGGGTGAACCTTTCATCAGAGGTCAAGTAGGAGTAGGATGGGTAGTTACCTTTAATGCTGTGCTGCTGTAAGGCTGAGAACACTGTTAGTCTCTTTCAGAATGTTACACCTGTATGGATCTTCAGCCTTTGTCTGCAAGCAGGTTTTAACTTTATTTTTGTTTTGCAGCTTCTGTTGGTGTCAGATGGATGATAGGCGTTACAGAAATTAACAAGGGCTCCACCTATGGCAACAATGACAACAAGCAGAAACAAAAGTAGTATCTTCAGAGACTGCTTCTATCCAAAGGGAACAAATGCAACTTCTGAAAACTCTTAAGTGCATATCATGGTCCTTCAAGTGAGATCAGAGGAAGGGTAGGATGAGCAATTGCCATACATATCTGAATGTGTGCTCCTGTTATTTTTCTCTGCGGGTTTGGGCTGGATGACACGCTTGAAAGATGCACTCCGTATATTCTCCACAACAGGTTTGCATTTGTTTGGTTGGTTTTCCTATAAAGTGACTTAAGTTTTGAAGAGAAAAAAAAAAAAAAATTACAGTGTGCTTGTATGAGACTCTACCTGGAAACTAACCAGAGGTGCAGGCTTTATCTTTCTTAATTTGCTCTAAGGAACGGATAAACGTTGGAAGATTGTTACAAGATGATTAAAATTATAGTTGTGTAGATCACACATTAACAGTTTAACAACCATAATCTGTCAATGTTTAAATACAGTAAGATGCTCTGTTTGGTTATTACCAGTATTGGACTGAAGCAGCTCTACCGAACTGGGAGAATTGTAGTAGAGTTTTTATACATCTAGAACTTATTCCCACAGTGTGCACCACATGGCCCTTTTGACTCTTCAGCCAGACCCTGGCTAAGGGCCCACTTTGTTAGATCAGAGCCCTGCGGTGGCATAACCTGGAGTGGCATTTGGCCTTCTGGCCTGAGCAGAGCTAAGTTCTGTCTTTCCCCAGGCAATACATCAAAGGCATAGCTGAAACCTGTAATTCTTTTGAGAGTAAATGCCATTTATAGTTTGGAAAAACTGAGGTAATAAAATTCCTTTCAGCTTTAAACATTGATTAAAATTCTAGGCCTTCCTAACATTGGTAGAAACAAAACAACTGGGTATGCTGTAACTAAGCAATGCAAAGCATGCATTAAAAGTTATGCCCCACACCCGTACTATTGTGATCCCAATTAATCTGCTTGTCTGTCTTTTCTGATAAATTAGATTACATGGTATCTCACAACAGTCAGCCTGCGGTAATAGTTAAATCATCTTTTGCTTTTATTTTGGGGAGAAGAGGGGAAGCAGGAGAGAGACCTAGGACAACGCTATGACTTAGTTTTTTATGGCTGTCTGGACTTGTTTTGACACCCTTCTGAATTAAGTAAAATGATAATCAAGCCCCTTGGGGAAAACTGTGTTGCTCTGACATCCCTGATACTGATTCCAGGGCAGCCTCCTCTTGTTTTTAAACTTCAAGAGTTAAGAATATGTAAGTTACTAAAAAAAGCTTGTTTAAAAAAACAAAAAAGGAAAAGGAGGGGACTTCCAACTACCAGCAATTATAACTGAAAAAAACCCCAGTCTCTTTAAAAGATACTGATGCTGAACAGTGGGGATTATGATTGGCATGTTCAGTGACAGTACATTTTCATTGCACATAGGCCTAAACAGTGACATTCTAGGACTGAAGAGCCTGTGTGTCTCTAGAGAAGGTGGTAAGCAGTCTTGATTCTGGCAGCTGGTATAAAAAAAAATATATTTCCTTTCCTATAATAAAACTGAGGCCAGAAGAAATGGGCTAATACAACAGAACAAATCATTCCATGAAGTATGTATTTGCTGTTCAGTGTATCAGATCATCTAGGAACTAGTCTTCTTAATACGCAGCACTGAAAGAGCAGGTATAATAGTGCTTTAGCATGGGTTAGTAAGTAAAGTTTTTTGTGAGCAGAGGGAGTGAAACATACAATGTGAAGGAAGGAACAGGCCTTGGGAAGTGTGAGGGATGATTTTGGGGGTGCTTTTCCTCACCTGTCTTGTGTACACACTATTCCCTATGCTCTAAAGCTTTCTGGAACAGGTTGTATGATGTCACAAAGTAAGTTGGACTTTAGTGTAGTTTTTTAACACATGTAATGTAGCCCAGGGTCAGAAAATACTGACATGCTTGCACAGCTTTTCTTTTAATAAAGCACATGCCCTGCACTTTATTTGCTAAAACAGTCTTAACAGTGGAAAACCAAGTACTGTAACTTGTAGTAGTGCCTGAAGGTCTGGCTATGGCAGTAGTGCATCAGGCAGTTAATGAGCCAGGCCTAAAGGGACTGTAATAGCAACACTTTGAAAATGGGTGGGGGTGGGAGAGAGAGGCGATCTCTCCAAGAGAGCATTCTGCTATCACCCTTACCTGGCAGATGTGGCACGCTTTTCTCAGGGTGGCAGAATGAACCCTGTAAGCAGGGGTGAGTAGTTCTGAGCAGCAAATACATATTCGTGTAGTGATAGAGACCAGCTTTTTGCCTCTTTAGAGCCACTGATTTAACATGGTGGTATATTTAACATTCCTTATGAATCTTAGTCCTTCCCTCCCCAACTGCATGCAGTGCCACTTCACCCAGAGGAAAACACCGAACATGTAAATACTTTTGAAAGAGTATTTAGACCATTTCACACCCCATTTCCCTGGATCAATCCTTAGAACAGGGCCAAACACACCACTCCTGCCTCTGTCCTCTTAAGCACTTCTAGAACCCCAGCACACAAGAACTTGCACCACTGGGCCCTTCCAGCGTTCACTGGCAGACACAGAAAGCTTAATGGTACTTGCCAAAGTTAACCTAGTCCAGTTCACTGTATTAAAAGAATGACATATGTCATTAGGAAGCAGTGTTTGCCCCTTGTCCCCACAAGCAACTGTATGTTCTACAACTGCCTTAACAAAAGTAGTCTTAACGTTTGTTTATACAAAAATAAAAGTATAAATAGAAAACATGCAGTGAATGAGTTTTCTTTTGGTCAGCAACAACAAACTAGTAACAGTTTTCCTTTTCACCTTTATCCTGACTCCCCAAAGCTGTCTGCAGTTGTCCTTTGTGTATAAGGGCACCTGAAACAAGGCAAGTGAGGACACAAACCGCCCTGCCACTTCTGATACACCGCAAAGTGAAGCACACAGCAGGCCAGGGGGACTTTTACCTCAGGTACTTTCATAGTCTGTAGCTGAGGATGACAATGTACTTCCCCCTCCTCTCATCACTGAAAATAGACAACTGAAGAGAAGGGAATGTATAAATTCAGCATTGTCTCTTTTGAGAGCCTAGATACACTGCACTGGTGACCTGCACAACAAGGCTCATGCTTTTCTAGATTTAAATGTCTGTTGTGAGACCTTCTCAACAGCTCACCCAGCTGCTATAAGCTACTCCACACCTGTAGAAAACCAAGGATTTGTGGATGAAGAGGAGACAGGACTTTATAAGTAAGTTACCCATTTTAAGGTGTAAAGTTGTAACAGAAATATGTAAACTTGTGCTAATGCTTACAAGCAACAGTCAATCTGTTTGTAACAGCAAGTCAAACAAAATAACTAGATCAGGTGTTGCAGACTGTTTCTTTTAACTGCTAACCACTTCTAATCTGTTGCTTTTCTGAGACTGATTACAATTGAGGGTGGGGAAATCAAAGTCCAGGATCAGATATCAGTTTTAAAAAGCTGAGAGTAGTTTCTTGGTTTTGCCGAATAGAACACAAGAATAGTCGTAACCAATTCTTCTGTTGGCCGCAGAAATGGCATGCAGGTTGCTCCCTGTTCGCAGTACTCACATTCAGGAAGCAAGTTACTTCAGACCATGGCTCTATCCCTTATGTAACTAGATAGCATCAGGGAACTGCACATCACCTTCTTTCCTCGGGAGGGGATAAAGGGGAAGACCTTAATTCTGTTACCACTTGTGCAAGAAGCATCTTGTGTAACTGCCCATCTTGAACGTGACAGATATTGACTATTGCAATATAAGAGGAGCTTATTCCAGTTAGGTTATAGCTTAGCAGTCTTAAACAAGCATTGAAAAAAGTTTTAAATGCAACACAACGCCACATACTTATTTTCAGAAGAAAAACCCTTCACCAACAACTCCTAAAATAAACCATTTATTGAGAAAAAACTTTTTTTAAAATTTCATTAATCAGCCTTGTGCATAACAAATCTGAAGCTTGCCAAAAACAAATAAACAAAAAACCAGTAAAAGTTCACAGTCAGTGCACTCAACAAACAGTTTAAAAAACAAGGTCCATAACGCCTGGTAACACTACAGCATTTTTCTGAACCTAAAGAGTTCAAAAATACTACGTATTAACATTACAGTTCTCAATCAAATGAGAAACGGGAGAAAGAACAAAAAAGGTATGGTCCATATACAGTAGTAATGGCACTTTCACTGAAACATGCAGCTTCTTCCAACTTGCAGACACTGTCACATGAGCAACATGTGGCAAGTAAAACATACAGGAGCAGCAGAGAAAGTGACGCTCGTCACTTGTGCAGTCTTCGTAAGTTCAACTTTTATACTGTTTCTCAGCACAGTCTTTTATGTAAATATTACATACAGTAGTGATTAAAAGGTATCTTGCCAGAATAAAAAAGGCCAGAGATTGAATAACTTCATTCTTCATCTGTGCAAACCTGTGGACAGAAGGGCAGTTAATTCAATTGTCTCCCTACTGCAGCAAGAAGATGACAACTGATCCCTTTCTTTTGCACCTTCACTGAACATCTTTGAAGCTTTCTTCTTTCTCCCATGTTAGACAGATAAGAAATGACAAGTGTTTATATGTGAATACTGATGTCTCCACTGTCACTGTGCAACTCTCAGGTGCCTAAAGCAGCATTCTGCCTCTGAGGGATGGGATGTGGCTACAGTTGCACTGATAGAGGGATGGGTATGATGATCCTAAACCACTGTTACTGAACAGAATACCAAAATGAACAACTTCACGCTGGAAAGTGGGACAGAATTCAATAACCTATTGTGCTCCTACTTCAAAAAAGAAGTTACTAATACACCTACATTTGGAGCTGTGAATATTTGCTCTTCTTATGCAAAGAATCAAACATAGTTCATGCAAGAACTGCAGATTGTTACACCAACTGCCAGATAATTCAGTATGAACTTAATGGGAAGTATGAACTTCCAAAGCAGACCCTCGCACTGAAGGATGGTGAAGTTCTCAAGCATGTCCTTATTTCACATTTAATGGAGAGGACCCTTATCTCTATACTACAGAGGGCTGTACATACGCACTCATTAAAACTTTAGGCAGAGAGCCCTTCAGATCCAATTAACTACCACAGAATTTAAGCTTGACAAGCCTTTTTAATGTAAAGATAATGCATCTCAAAACAGCAGTGAAAGTTTATTGCATGCTGCACGCCAGAGGTTCTTTTAGTCAAATGTTCTCTAGCAACATCACATGTGCTTTGGAAAACTTGCCAAACCTTGTATTCTGGACAGTATCGGCTTGATACCAGCCTCCCACCGTGATACAAAGCCCTGCAGCACAGCTGCAAACGATGAAGCCAATTATAAAGTCTGTTTTCGACTCACACCTACAGTCTTTGTAGCCAAAGCCATGAGACAAACCTTGACAAAAGGGTGATCGAGGAGCTGGCTGGCTGTCCACCTCATCTTTGGGTCGCTTTCCAGGCAGTGGCAAAGGAAGTCTTTCCCTTCTGGGCTCACTTTGTCAGGAATAGGAGGTTTATGACCCATCCCCACTTTATACATGATCTGGAAGTTGTGCTCGTATTCGTGCCAAGGCCTCTGCAACAGGTAACAGCATTGCAAAGCGCAAGGTTTAGAGAGCAACTTGCTATCCCACAGAGCATACGTTTCTGTACCCCAGGAAGTTAAAAACCACCCCAGTACCTGCAGACTTAAGTGTGACAAATTGCTGGAAGTGGCACCAGAATTTGCAGGGAAACTGCTAAGAAGAGTTTGCACTCATTCAGTACGTGAAACGTCCTTACCTTGCCAGTGACCATCTCTATAACAACACAGCCCAGGCTCCAGATGTCTGCTGCACGTCCATGTCCTTCTCCTTTAGCTCTAGTAATTACTTCTGGAGCCATGTACGCTTTGAAACAACACATATGATGTCATCAGTTCATACAGCAGAAGGAACAGAATACATTAAGTGATTAATAGGGCAAACCAAATGCTTCTTAATATATCTGTAATGAAGTACCACTCAGCTTTTCTTGCTATGTTTTGTCATTTGCTGGCTGCTTGTTCTCTGACACATTTGCAGCATAACTGTCTTTCAGTTTGAAAAGTGATAGTGAAAATTCTGGTACAGTAATTTTCATTTATTAAAAATAGATGAAGCAGCTGTTCAGTAAGAGCAGTCCTACTGCAGAGATACAGCCCCAGAAAGCATAAGCTCCAGCATCTTTATAGTTACCTGACAAATACAATTTTCTCTCTCCAGCTATATCATTCATTGACTGT